GCAGGGCCTGGCGTAGGTGCTCGTCCCTTCCACTCACGTCCTTGTCCATCTGCAGAGAGCAGGGGGTGTCTGTGGGGGCAGCAGTGCCAGGGGCACAGGGCCAGCCCCGCACACTGGGCACTGGGGGCTGGGGGCTTGTGCAGCCCGGGGCTGGGCCTTTCAGCTCGTCCTTACCAGGCAATCACAGAATTTGAAGTGCTGCTCTCTCCTCAGCAGCTTCTCCAGGTCCCTTCTCTTGAGGAACCTTGCAGAGCAAAGCAGCGCTTCGCGAGCGGCCTGCAGAGCAGCAGACACAGGGACATGGCACCACAGCCCAGGGCACAGCACCTGCATCCCTGGGTCAAGGCCAGCAGGAGGATGGAGCCTGCCAGGCCCCGGGGCCGGAGGCAGCCCAGCCCCTGCCACGGGCAACCGAGAGCCCACAAGTGCTCACCTCTGCCACGCTCTGGCTGTCGTCATGCCCGAGGATGAACAGTGGCACCAGGCTCTGGTGCACCTGCGTCTCCAAGGGCTGTGTTCCCTCTTCTGCCAGCAACTCCATCACCTCTTGGAAGAGGCGAATGGACAGCAGCTGCACATGGGTGTTGTCCTGATGCACAAGAGGAGAAAAAGACCTCAGCACTGCCTGCCCCAGGCACACCAGGCACAGGCCTGAAAATCCACAGGGCACAAAGTCTGCTGGCAGCACCCAGTGCCTGTGGCTGGGGGGCACAGAGCCTTACATTGTCAAAGAGTGGCCGAAGTGCTTCAGCCAGCCTGGGGGCAGTGGAGATGATTGCCCGAATGTCTTTGCCCCGGAGCACAGTCAGGAACACGGAGAGCGTCATCCCGACCAGCTCTCCATCTGCATGGTGCAGCAGCTCCAGGAGGCTTTCAGAATGGCTGGCAATGCTTTTGGCCTGTGTGAAACACGGTGCTGTGCTGTCAGTCTGTGAACAGCTGCCCCACCAACAGCTCTCTGGTGGTGCAACCCCACCCTGCTGCCCCAGAGGCCAAAGGCCTGTCCTACAGGGTGCAGGCAGCAGAACAGGGAGGCAGGAGAGCTGGGAGCAGCAGCCACAGGTCCCAAAGCCCAGCCAAGGCCAAGGGACTGTGTTCCCCAGTGCCAGTGTGGCTTAAGCCGGGTGTGCCCTTCTCACCTTTGAGGGATCCACGGCAAGAACCAGGAGGCCTCTCAGAGCCAGGCGCTGCCTCTCTGGGCACTGGCTCTGCAGGTTCCTTGACAGGATCCGCAGGACCCTGTCACGGCTACTCCCATCCAGATAGTCCAGGACCTGGAAGGCAGAGAGCAGTGATGGGTGCCCGGCTGGCAGGAGCCCAGAGCCAACCAGGGCTGTGCCCAGGCAGCAGCACAGGGCGCAGGCACCGTCCCGGCAGCGGCTGCCAGAGGGCAGAGAGGGGCAGGCAGGCGGGCCAGGCAGCGCTGGCCATCAGGCTCACCTCAACAAGCAGGGCCAGGGCAGGCAGCTCCCAACGAGGGTCCACACTGCTGAGCATCCCCAGCAGGTGCATTGCCATGGGGCAAT